AAATGAATGGCTTTAAGTGCAAGTCTGTTCTTTTAGAGAAAATATAACATCCAGTTAGTTTAATACTGACATAACAGATTAAACAGAGACAGTGTCAGCGGCAGCCATCTTGGTTGTTTTTTTGTTTAATTTTTTAATAAAGTTTGTTCATTGCATTCAACCACAATTTACTAAATAACTGCACTAGTTATTTAGTAGGAGTATACAAAAACATAACAAAAATGATACAGATAAAACTGTTAACAGGTCAACAAATGAAATAGAAAAGTAGTCATTCAACATAGGGAAAGTAGGGGGGGTCCACATTGCACAGAATTAGTTTTATACCATTTAAGTGTGTGTTTAATCTTTTCCAACTTTAGGCAATTTAAAACAGCTTTAATCCAAAGAGCACAAGAAGAGGGTGGAGAAGATTTCCATCCAGGCAAAATTAATTTAACAATTAACAAAGGCAAGGCAAATTGCATTCATTTCGGTCAGTTGTAATGTGGGTGAGGAAACTGCACATTCATTCAATGAACGGGTCTGGTTCAAACTGCATTTCTGAGAGTGTCTTAAAGATGTCTTTCCAGAAACCAACAACAGATGGATCACACCACCACACATGTCCATGATGTGTTGTATGAGACTAGTTTCATCTCACACAAATAGGATTCCTTATAAATTTTGAATGATCCTGCTTTGTTCCAATGAGCCCTATGAGTTTACATTGACTGAGACTGTGCCATCTTGGCTGTTTACGGAAAGTGCTTCAACAGCCAGTAAGGTCGTGCTCCTCTGTACAGTTGTCATATCAAACCCGCCCCATATTAGATAAGGACTGGTGAAAATCTGTCTGAAAGGGAAGCAGGACCAGACGCACCTGCCAGAGAAAATAAAACACGAGCTCACAGATTCATCTGGTTCCCAGGCTGCGATTACATCAAGGCTTATCAAAGTCATTTTTGCACAAAATCGTTCTGGGAAAAAGTGAAACTTGTTTCTCTGCAGAAGGCTCAATGTGCAGGACATGAAGCAACAACTGATAGCAGCTGATGATAATTTATTCACCTGCAATGAAAGGATTATAGAAATGTTTCCCAAAAGCCTGTTCCATAGCCACCTCTCGCCTGCTCCACTCTCTCTCCAGCAGTCTCCTCAATCTGTTCAGAGGATCAGGTTCTGCTTCATCTTCACTCTCTACTTCAAGACTAAAATATCTCTTAAACTGGTCATCTTCATGTCGGTGCATTTGTTTTTTGAAAATTCAATAATCGCATTAGTTATACAAGGGATAAAACTGACTAAAATGCTGACTTGAACTTGATAAACCATAAATGTGAACATTACAGGGGACCATTTCTGTATCATATCTGAAAATAGATAAAAGGAAATGTGGGGGAGCCAGTCTCAATGGGCCTGATGCAACTATTTTGAGACATAAAGCTGCAGCCACAGCCCACAGGCTTGTGTTTACATTGTATAGCCATAGCTAATTGCATTATATTGTGAGGACTGGACTTATTAACTACCAGGCAGCGGAGCCAAAGCTCAGTGTTATGTTTTATTTACTTTCTACATTTTATATTTTCTACAATTCATTATTTATGTTAACATTCATTTAAGATTCTTTTGAAAATATTCTATTCAATAAATGTATATGGTCTATATCTCATTCTGTTCCGTAGTGTACGTCTACTCATTCTTAGGCGAACAGATGGAGTAAACTGTGGACCTTTCTTCTAGCCACCTTGCCACTTTGCTTTAAAGCTTTCATCGTTCTGTCACCAGAAGGAAACACCTCAGTGCTCAGAATACTGTTCCCAGCAGCACTCTTCCCAGAAAACTCCCATTCGACCATCAAGATCCTCAGGTTGAGTGTTGGCTCTGTGGAATAGCACAGCTATTAGAAATCTTACTTTTAAAGAACAATTTTTGTTGATTACAATTTGGGTATTATTTTTGTAGTTTTGGTCCAAATAATACAAGGTCAGAGGGTCTACTTTGTAGTTGTTTGTTATTTGTTGATGTTGTGATTGAAAGCTTTTGAAACATGTAATGGTCTGTTGTCAGCGACCACAAATTAAATAATTTGCATAAGTAGATTGCATACAACGTCAATGCAAAGACACAAATAGATGTAGATTCCTTGTCTGTGTTTGTGTGAGTTGAAAATATTCAACTTTGAGTGAAAAATGTGTGTGTATTGTGGGGCTTTTGTGGGAAAGACCGGAGAGACAGAGCTGCAGCTGGCCATCAGACAGCTGCTCGGGTCGGAGCTAAATATTCTGTAGTCACACCAGATTCTGCTCTGATCTGGAGCTGTTAACTGGCAAGAGGAGCATTTTTTCTTTTTTAATTTGGGGATTATTAAAAAGTGGATTAATTGTCAATGTCTGTTGTCTACTGCAACCACAGAGGTGTCACCCCCACTTGTTGCTATCTGTGGGCACCCAGAACTCTACGACACTACTTAATATTTACACAGAAACTGGACAAAAAAGGAGATTGCTTGGAAAAAAGTAAGTGAGGAGGTTGGACTGCCTGGTTGGACTGCCTATGAACTAAGTTAGCGTAGCCCTGATTGGGCCAGACTTCATTCAGAAAACAAGCATTTTAACAGTTGTTTACTTGTCATGTTGTGGACAGATTCGAGTTTGAATTAATTCATTTTATAAATCACCATCATGATGTACGTCCGTTAATGCAATTAAATCACAGCAAAATCTGTTTATTTAGATGTTGATATTCAGATTAAAGGCAAAGAGTAAACTTACACACGTAAAGCCAATTCAGTCAGGACCACTTTCGTCAAAATATCTTATATTCCAAGCAGAATTACATTTGGCGGTATGGCTCTGTTCTGGGACCTCCTTGTCCTTCCGCGTGCCTACGTGGAAAACCTTAAGGCAGGGAGAGCACACCTCCCTGCCCTTCCATGTGCATACATGGAAAAGTTTAAGACAAGGAGAGCGGCAGCAGAGACCTCCCAGGGTACAGAACAGAGCAGCATCAATGGCAATCAGAAAATGACATTGATTAATTAGAAACAACATAAAAAAGGAGGAGCTGGGGTGGAGGTGGGTGCAAAAGGCTTGTAGAGGGAGCAGCAGAGATAGGCAGGCAGGCTAAAGCAGCTTAAATAAGGCGCCATGCATGATGTTTGCCAATTGGATGCTTGAGGAAATCAGGTGAGCTGTCAGCTGACTCTGTATAGTATCCAATGGGAAGTTTAGAGGAATCAGCTGATGTATGTTTATGACTAGCTGTGATCGTATGATATAGCTGTAACTGAAAGCTAAGCCTGACTTCGTGCCCTGCCTGAACTAACACTATGCTCAATTTGTGGTGGGAATACTCTATAAGCTTTGAGATTGCAGGATTTTGTTAACCATATTGTTCCAAGAATCAACTTAGAAGAATTTCTAAGAAGTCAGTCTGTACAGTGAGGTGGAACAGACAGTTTCAGTAATAATTTACTTCTTGCCTTTGTTTTCTTTTCCAAATTGGTAACCTGGGGATTTGTTTACAACCTGTCTGATAATCTGAGAGCGGGTGTTTGTTGCATCTTTTGGTCTTATTTGCAGTGTTCCTGGATCTCAGTGAATAACAATAGGAATGATGGCTAAAACTACGAAAATAAGACCCAAGAATTCTTCCTTTGAACAAACATGTATATAATTAAACAAACTGAACTGACCTATCAGCATTTTAAATCAGAGTGCTGTTGATTTCATAACAATTGTTTTCTGCCACCATGGTGTCAATCTTCTCAAGCAGCTCTTTGACTTTCTCACCATTGTCTGTGCCATCATCACAAAGAACATGGTATCTGTTACCACAGGCCTCCAGAAGCAACTGGAGTGGCGCCCCTTTCTTCCCGATATACTCCTCAATGGGTTTGTGGGTTAGACGGCCTTTGTGGATGAAGACCACTATTGTGTGATCCCACACCTTGTCACCAAAGAAGTGTTGCAAGTGCTGCTTTGTTGCCTTCTTGTTTACTGTCTTGAATGGTAGTTCAGCATTAATCACCAGGATAAAACCATGCAGTCCAGTTGTGACTTGAAAAGTTCAGATGTATTGCAGAGGTCATATTCTCACAGCCACCCAGTAGCTTTTACCACCGTCACTCTTCACAGGATCTTACAGGATTTTACATCTCCTAGATCAAACGCCTGTCTTCCAAGGACTATGTTTCCAACTAGATGTTTCCGTGAGCTGTTTGATCCCACGAAATAGTAACATGAAAAAAGCTTGAAAACAGAAAAACTAATGATAAGTCTTTCATTCACAGTATGAGAGTTACTTTATGAACTCACCTTTGACAGAGCTTTCTTCATGTTTTCTGAAGAGCAGGATTAACAGAAAATACTTCTAAAGGGTTTAATTTCCTTCATGCCTTGTTGACTGTGAGAGCTGAAAATTTTTATTTTTGTGAGCCTTCTTTCTTTTTTTAAAAATTCCCCACCCAGATCTATGCGCCAGTAACTTACACCTCTTTCAGTAGCTGGTTTCATCCTTTGTTTGCTTCCTCCAACTGTACAATTGGCAGCATGTCAGAGGTGTGGCATGCCATAGTGAAGTCAAATGGACATTTATCATCAAGAAAAATATTTAGTTGGGCAAATGCCTATACATTCACATCTTGTTTATATGCATTTTACATGCATGCATAACAGTTCTTTTGTCTGTTATACTTTAACATAGGGAGTAGAACTGAAAACAAACAACAATTTCAGTATTCATTGCATAATAATATCATTGGCAGCAGTTGCATGTTGTACTGAAGTTCTTTAGTTTGCCTGGGACGAGAAACAAAGTTTGTAGAACTCGACTAGCAGCCGCCTCCATACCGCTAGCTGATTTGACACAGCCACTTGATGAACTGCCTGCAGAGCTTTCATTGACAGATTTTGCTCTCTGCTTCATTCACTTTGATTGTAAAATGTGTCCTGCTCGACTGTAAGCTGCAGTTTTAGTATGAAAAGTAAGTAAGGAAATAAATTCAAAAAATAAAATACATTTATGTGGTAGCTTTAATAAGGAATGGATTTATTTCATACATACAATAAAACAGTTCACACAGACATACCAAGAAGAAAACTGTTATATGAAACAACTCATGATCCTTACCATTAACCTTGTTTATTTGTTTTGTATATTTTGTGAATTTTGGATATATGTGTATTGATATTTTTGCACCTTTATTGATAATTTACACTCTTTCCTATTTTGTACTGCAGCTGCTGCACAATAATTTCCCTCAGGATCAAGTCAAGTTAACATACATACAAACAATCCTGGATTTCTGCAAGTTCCTGGGAAATAGAGCAGATCTCATTACCTAGTATTCGATCTCCTCATCATATACTGCCTCCACCATCTCAACATGCAACCCTACAGTACAGATTAACAAGATAATAAATAGCTAGATAAAAAGCCATACAAAAAAAATTCTGAAACTTCCAAGGCTAAGTTAAGAAAGTGTTTAATCTTCTTATCATCTTTGAAGCTTTTCCTTTATTTCGTGCATTGTCTTAGTAACCAGTCAGCAAAAAAGCCATAATGGCTAAGAGTCATGTTATGTTTTATAAATGTTTTGATAACATAAATAAATAGCTGGTATTTTTTATTTACGGGATAGCTAACAATGTTGTTGAATGACTTGTGAACGTCTTTATGCATGGTGGGTATACTCAGATTAAGACGGACCATAGTTGCATGTTGACAGCCTCCCTATACATTCAATGTAGGCTTTATTATGGTGAAAAAATCTATGCCAATTTAATCTTGATTTTATAGCTTAGTTTTTAATTGTCAAAGTACAGTTGGTGCTATTGGTAGCTCACTACATCTGTATGTACATATGCAAAACACATCAGTGAAGCAGTTTAGATATGTCCCACAACTGAATAGCTCTGAATTAAAGGTCCAGTGTGTAAGATTTAGGGGGCTCTATTTAGAGAACATGACAGAAATGTAATGTTCCTACAGTATCCCAGAACTTCTGTGTTTTTAATTGTTTCTCCTACACGTTTGGTTGAGTCAAGGGGTTTCAATCTGCATTCTTACCACTAGATGCCACTAAATCCCACACATAGGTCCCTTAAGAAAATATTGTTTCCTATAATATTAATTTTTTATAGTGTCCTAAACTATTTTCTGCAATATCCTTGTCAATGTGCATCTGTTACAGACAGAAACTTGTTAAGCTCAGCGTGAACATCAGCACTATGAGGGTGTGTTTCACCTGCAAAGCGCTGAAATAAGCACAAAACATCTGCTCTGCTTGCATCGTTCACTTCTGTTTATATAATGCCCCTACCAGGATTAAGTTAATGATTGATATGACAGTGAGAACCAGTCTCCAGTAGAGAATCTTTCTACAGTCTGCTTGTAGTCTTCTCTCAATATTAGGTGTTTAGAGAAGAGTGAGCAGGTTTTTTATTTTAACAATCTGATGCATTTGCCTACACAGACATACTTTTAAAAGTAGAAAGGTCTTCTGAAATTAATTTTAGTTAATTTCATTAATTCTTTTTAAAAGATTTCTTCTTCCCTTTTTTTTCCCAGCTTGTTGTGCCCTAGGGACTTGCCTAGGTGGATTATCCCTCATTGAAGTGCCTCTTTTCTTCTTTTTCTTCTCTTTACAGCCGGTGTTAGAGGCTGTCCCATTTGCAGATGATGTGCGTTGGGTTTTCAGCCACGTTGTTACTTTTTTTCTTGATATGTGCAGCCGACCAATATCTGGCTCGGAGGTGGCTATGATGGGGAAAAAAATAATTTGAATATTAAAGCAATACAAAACTGAACAAGACGTTATTTACACAGTGGTATTTGATTTATTCACCTGCAGAGTCAGGACTGAATAAAGGTATCCAAGAAGCCTGTTCCATGGCCCACTCTCGTCTGCTCCACTCTCTCTCCAGCAGTCTTTTCCAACCGATCAGAGTTGCATCATCTCCACTGTCTTCAAGATTGAAACAGCCCTGGTCATCTTCAAGTCGGTCCTCCGTTTGTTCTTCCTCCCAATCTGAACCGTCAGACTGTAGGTCGTCATCACTCACTGATTAGAAGATACCATTATCATGTTACTTCTACAAGGGATACAATTAATTTAAGATACTGCTGAAATGTAATGTAATGCACAGAACAACAACAGTCGACAATTTATTTTCTATTAATTTCTCTTAAATATTCAACATGTATTATATATTTTTTGTGGGGACTCAACATTATTATATTTTTTTCTTCAATACTCCTCACCTACAGTTATGATAACTATATTATTAATGGCTGCCACCCAGTTACAGTTGAGTATCTGTAAGCTTCTTTGCTCGTCAATTGTGAAAAAAACTAATAAAAAGTGCGTGTACATGCTTCAAACCTTAAGCTGATTATAATAATGATCAGAACGCCTCAGTAAACAAGAAGATATCCCCAGTTCATATGCAATTTATATAAACAAATGGCACTAAAATATCCTGATTCTGCAAGATGTTAATTATTATTGTCATCAAAGTCTGCACTATTACAACATATTGGTGTGCTGTTGATGATCCTAATTGGACGATAAAGATTATTCTGTTCTAGTGTGTGTGTGACCTGCATCAGGATATAAATGTGATCATTGCATATATATTAGTCAATAAATGATATAAGGGATATAATAAGTGGATATGTATTTTTAATATAACATATCTAATATATAATACTTTAGCCTTTAGAATGTAACTATTATATAGATGTTATTGTAGAAATCTACTAAAATTATATCTGTTGATTTATGAGATTGTGGATCAGTGACCTATGACTATTGCCTTGGAGAAAATATATTTAAAGGATGATATAATGTTTATAGAATGGATTTAATGCTCGATTACACTGTAGGATTTATGATGTTTCAAAAGGTCTGCTCTTGAATTTTCCAGTTATTGGACGTTCATGGGAATTATTGTATTTGTTTCTTTTAGGTTTTTTTCCTGTATGCTTGGAGTGGCTCTTGGCGATCATCTGTTAACCAATCAGTACAGTACCCTGACTAGACGATTGAATAATTGAGGCAGCTCCTATATGTGTATAAATGTTGTCATGCTGCCTATATACCTGATAAAGGTTATATGGAGTCAAGTTGCACCTTCCTCTAACGCACCTGTCACACATTCAGGTGTGTGGAGATTTGTCTCTATAAATTATGAAGGTTTAAAAATAACTTTCTATTAATAGCTCTGGATACTTACTGCTTGGTGGTTCTTTCCTACTTCCTTCTAGGCTCTGGTATGTTTTCCAGTTTCTACGATCCCATTCAATGATAAGTTGTTCTCTGATCTCCTTGGTTGTGTTCTCATCTTTGTTTTCAGTTGATTTGTCACATCTGTCTTCCTGGAGTTGTGGATCATCTGTGTCAGGGTAGGCACTGAGGTAAAAAGAGCTGTTTCCTGCCACCATCTCCTCCATCTTCTCCAGCAGCTCTGTTACCTGATCACCAGCTGCACTCGTGTTGTTGAGGACGTGATACCTGTTTCCACATTTCTCAATCAGCCAGCGGAGAGGCTTTCCTTCACTTTCAATGTGCTGCTCAATAATTTTGTCCCCCAAAGCGTCCCCGAATGTAAACAGCACAATGACATGTCTCCACACTCTCTGTCCAAATAGCCTCATGTTGCCCTCTATGACTCTTCTTTGTTCATCGGTAAACGATGTGTCAAGAGGCACTGCCAGCAAAATGACATTTGGTGATGGCGAGCACAAAGACACTCCTTTTAAAATCTCAGATTTCAAAAGCGAAGGGTTAAATATCGCTGGGAAGAATTTCCACCATCCAGGAGTGTCCACGATGACGATGTCTCTTCCAGCAACCTCACCGCTTTGCTTTAAAGCTTTCACCGTTCTGTCACCAGAATGAAACACCTCAGCGCTTAGAATACTGTTCCCTGTGGCACTCTTCCCAGAAAACACCCACCCGACCATCAAGATCCTCAGGTTGAGTGTTGGCTCTGTGGAATAGCACAGCTATTAGAAATCTTACTTTTAAAGAACAAAATTATTGTTATTTAATTATATATATATATAATTATTGGACAAATTGTTGTTTTGTTGTTTTGGTTGTCATTTTAATTTCTGATAAAATAAAGTAAGATCAAAAGGTCTGCTAAATAGCTGTGCCTATATTGTTAAACATGCTTTGAGATTTGATAATTGTGTTAATTATACTGTCACTGTCAGAATTAAATAATTAACTTTCATCTTCAAATATTTTCTAGGAAGTCAGTCCTAATCATCATCAGAATTTTCTTTTTGTATTATTTTGCTTTAAAGAAAATATGGGTAGATAACCTGTGGGTTACTGATCATCTGACAGCTGGTGTTTGTTGCTTCTTTTGGTCGTATTTGCAATATTCACAGCAATTAACAATAGGAATGATGGCTAAAAATTAAGCATAGCGTTAGTTCCAGCAGGCCTCAAGTCAGGCTTGGTTCTCAATTCCAGCTATATCAGCTGATCATGGCTAGTAAACAAACATCAGCTGATGGCTCAGCTGATTCCTCCTAAGCTTCCTATTGGAAACCATTCACAGTCAGCTGACAGCTCAACTGATTCCCTCAAGCATCCAAATTGGCAAATATCATTCATGGTGCTTTATTAAAGTTGCTTTAGCCTGCCTATCTTTGATGCTTCCTCTACAAGCCGTTTTGCAGCCCACCTCCAACCCAGCTCCTCCTTTTTATGTTGTATCTAATTAATCAATGTAATTTTCTGATTGCCATTGATGCTTGCTCTGTTCTGTACCCTGGGGGGTCTCTGCTGCCACTCTCCTTGTCTTAAACTTTTCCATGTATGCACATGGAAGGGCAGGGAGGTGTGCTCTCCATTCCTTAAGGTTTTCCACGTAGGCACGTGGAAGGGCGAGGAGGTCCCAGAAGAGAGCCTTACCGCCAAAAGTTATTTTGACAAAAGTGGTTGTGACTGAACTATGAAAATAAGACCCAAGAATTCATACATTTATACAATCAAACAAACTGAACTGACCTGTCAGGAGATTTCTGAGTTTTTGCCTTTCTTGTTGTGATTGCAGACGCAACTCCTCAGCTTTTTTGTCCACTTCCCTCCTCTTCAACTCGGCATTTTGAATCAGAGTGCTGTTGATTTCGTAACAATTGTTTTCTGCCACCATGGTGTCAATCTTCTCAAACAGCTCTTTGACTTTCTCAACATTGTCTGTGCCATCATCACAAAGAACATGGTATCTATTACCACAGGCCTCCAGAAGCGACTGGAGTGGTGCCCCTTTCGTACTGATGTACTCCTCAATGGGTTTGTGGGTTAGACGGCCTTTGTGGATGAAGACCACTATTGTGTGATCCCACACCTTGTCACCAAAGAAGTGTTGCAAGTGCTGCTTTGTTGCCTTCTTGTTTACTGTCTTGAATGGTAGTTCAGCATTAATCACCAGGATAAAACCATGCAGTCCAGGTGTGATGCTGAGAATCGCTTCTGTCTTGAAAAGTTCAGATGTATTGCAGAGCTCATATCCTGGAAGCCACCCGGGGGGTTTGACCAAGGTGACTCTTCGCCCGCACACGTCTCCCTCTGCCCTCTCACAACAGCATTTTACATCTACCAGATCAAACGCTTGTCTTCCAAGGATGATGTTTCCAACTTGATATTTCTGGGAGATGTTTGATCCCACGAGCACAGCACTCAGCTCTGACAGAAAGAAAGTTAGACAGAGATAGTAACATGAAAAGAAGAAATATGTTAAAGGACCAGTGAGTAGGATTTTGTGGTATCTAGCAGTGAGGTTGCAGATTGCGTTGCATTACAGCTCAGCCTTTCAAACGTGTAGGAGAATTAACGGCAGCAGGAAAATGCCATATCTGACACCTGGGCTACTGTAGAAACATTACAGTTCAACATGATGGTTGGACCCACTCCCTCTGTAGATAAACAACTGATACTAAGGTAATGAAAACACATCAAGTCTTGTTTTCAGGGGATTTTACACTGATTAAAACATACCTATGAATATTATATTTCTGCCAATGGATCATCCTAAATGTTACATTTTGGACCTCTAGGACAGAAAGACGGATGATAAATCTTTCTCACCTTTGACGGATGTAGCTTTCTTCATGTTTTCTGAAGAGCAGGATTAACAGAAAATACTTCTGATGGGTTTCCTCTCCTTCATGTCTGTTGATTTTTGTCAGAGCAACTCCCTCTCTCATCATCTGCTAACAAAACAAACAGCATTTTTTTAGAAGCGATAAGAGGAGTGGCAAGACTGAATCTGAGCTCCCACATAAAGCAGACCTCTAGGACCGCCTTCTTTCATTTACGTAATATTAGAAAAATTAGACACATCCTATCACAGACAGATGCAGAAAAACTAATCCATGCATTTGTTACTTCAAGGCTGGATTACTGCAACTCTTTATTATCAGGTTGCCCCAATAAGCCCATTAAAACGCTCCAAGTACTGACAGGAACTAGAAAAAGAGATCACATCTCTCCTGTACTAGCTTCTCTGCATTGGCTCCCTGTAAAATGTAGAATTGAATTTAAAATCCTCCTCCTCACCTATAAAGCTCTTCATGGTCAGGCCCCTTAATATCTTAAAGAGCTCATAGTACCCTATTACCCCTCTAGAACACTACGTTCTCTGAATGCTGGGCTACTTGTGGTTCCTATAGTCTCTAAAAGTAGAACAGGAGCCAGAGCCTTCAGTTACCAAGCTCCTCTCTTGTGGAACCAGCTTCCAGTTGTGGTTCTGGAGGCAGACACCCTCTCCACATTCAAGAGTAAGCTTAAGACATTCCTCTTTGATAAAGCTTATAGTTAGGGCTGGATCAGGTGAGTCCTGAACCATCCCTTAGTTATGCTGCTATAGGCCTAGACTATCGGGGGATTTCCCATGGTGCACTGAGCTCCTCCCTTCCTCTCTCTTTCTGCACTCATTCATGCCCCATTAATGCATGTTACTAACTTCACTTCTTCCCCGGAGTTCTTGTGCTTTCTCGTCTCGCAGGTTCTCATGGATCCTGGTGGAGCCTCTTGCCATGGTCCTGCTTGACTGCCATTGCCAATACTATTGTTGCTGTGCACCTGTCTGTCTGTCTGTCTCTCGCTCTCTCTCTCTCTGCCTCTCTCTCTCTCTCTCTCTCTCTCTCTCTCTCTCTCTCTCTCTCTCTCTGTCTCTCTCTCTCTCTCTCTCTCTCTCTCTCTCTCTCACCCCAACTGGTCGAGACAGACGACCACCCACCTAGAGCCGGAGGATCTGTCCTAGGTTTCTGCCTTTTAACAGGCAGTTTTTCCTTGCCCTTGTCGCCAAGTGCTTGCTCATGGTGGTACTGTTGGGTCTCTGTAATTAATGTTAAAGAGTTCAGTCTAGACCTGCTCTATTTGAAAAGTGTCCTGAGATAACTTCTGTTATGAATTGGCGCTTTAAAAAATGAATACCTGTGTCTCTAACTTACACCTGTTCACTTGTTTCACTCTGCTTTTTTGCTTCCTTCAATTGTACCAACAGATGTCAGTTGTGGTGCATCATAGTGAAGTTCTCAAATGTCACAAATTTATTGTAATGGTTATTTAATATTTGATTGGGCAAATGCCTGTACACTTTATATGCAGTGTTTGCTTTTGTTTTTTCTTTCAAAGTGAAAGAAACTAAAAACAACAATGTACATTGTTCAGATTCTGAGTAGAGATCGACGGATACAGAATAGGGATGGAACAGTTCAAGTAAAACATGTGAACAGTTGGCTAGCTTGGTATTTGTGTGTGCGTGTAACAACTGCCAGTAAGAAGAGAGTCCAGAGAGACAAACAGATCGTGGACTGATAAGATCCTGGTTTGACGAGCACCAAGACACTGTATTACTCAAACAACTCTCACATAATTATATCATTGGCAGCAGTTGTGTGTTGGATTGAAGTTCATTAATTAAGAGTTTGCCCGGGGTGAGAAAAAAATATCACTAGCTGTTGTCCTGAGGTCACTGTCTTTCGTTGGGTTACTTCACTAAACCGAACATTACTGTTCCTGGATAACTGCTTTCATGGAGCTGGTTATCTGAGGACTCTGTCTCTCTGTTAACACTGGGGTTTCCAGCTACAAGCCGCTGTTAACTGCTACGTTAAAAGCCACATGATCAGAACCATGAAGTAACGTTACTGATATGAGATAAAACAGTCAGGTGATAGTACTGCAGGAAAAATCAAGTTAAATGTAATCTAATGTAAGAATATAATCACATAACATAAGATGCTTTAGAAAAAGCAACAGTTCTTGTTTTCAGGTGATTTTACACTGATGGAAACATACATATGAATATTATATTTCTGCCAATGGCTCATCCTAAATGTTACATTCTGGATTTAAGGACAGAAAGACAGATGATAAGTCTTTCATACACAGTATGAGAGTTACTTAATAGACTCACCTTTGACAGATGTAGCTTTCTTCATGTTTTCTGAAGAGCAGGATTAACAGAAAATACTTCTGAAGGGGTTCCTCTCCTTCATGTCTTCTTGTTGACGGTGTGAGCACAAATGTAGTGTGGTGCACATTGCTGTTGATTTTTGTCAGAGCAACTCCCTCCTTCATCATCTGCTAACCAAACCAACAGCATTTTTTTTTAGAAGAGATAAGAGGAGTGGCAAAATCTGAAATGAGCTCCATACCTGTGCCTCTAACTTATACCTGTTTGATTGTTTTATCCTGCTTTATTGCTTCCTTCAATTGTACCATTGGCAAGATGGCAGTTGTGGTGCATCATAGTGAAGTTCTCAAATGTCAAAAATTTATTGTAATGGTTATTTGATATTTGATTGGGCAAATGCCTGTACACTTTATATGCAGTGTTTGCTTTTGGTTTTACTTTCAGAGTGAAAGAAACTAAAAACAACAATGTACATTGTTTAGATTCTGAGTAGAGATCGACGGATACAGAATAGTGATGGAACAGTTCAAGTAAAACGTGTGAATGGTTTTTTAGTCACTGGTTGGGGCCTGTATTTTTCAGTTTGTGTATGAGTGTGTGTGTGTGTGTGTGTGTGTGTGTGTTTGTGTAACAACTGCCAGTTAAAAGAGAGTCGAAAGAGGCAAACAGATCGTGGTTGATGAAGATGCTGGTTCAAAGAGCAGCAAGACACTGTATTACTCAAACAACTCTGGCATAATAATATCATTGGCAGTAATTGTGTGTTGTATTGAAGTTCATTAATTCAGAATTTGCCCGGGATGAAAAAAAAAGTCTGTACAACTTGGCTAGCACTCAATCTCTATATCACTAGCTGTTGTCCTGAGATCTCTCACTCTCTTTGGGTTACTCTCTTCACTAAACCTAACTTTAGTGATCCTGGATAACCGTTTTCATGGAGCTGGTTATCACCTGTCTTTGTTAACACTGGGGTTCCCAGCTACAAACAGAAGATGCGGGCTGTTAACTGTTACATAATCAGAATCATGAACAAAGTAACATTATTGAGACAAGATAAAAAGTCTATAAGGAGCCAATAATTTGTGGATGAGTTGTTTAAGTGGTTGCGTTTTCCTCTCAGTTTGGTTTCTTTTCAAGCAGAAAAAAATGAAAGAGCACTAAAATGCATCACTAAAAACCATGTGATTATGTTCACTCCGCTCATTAGTTAGATGTGTCCCAAACGAACTCTGGAGCAGTTTGTGGTAGGAAAGGGATCTGACCCAACTACCAGGTTTACTCCATAAGTTTGAGCTAAGCTTGAGCTAGAAGGCAGCACGTCTTGTTTGCATCTTTATGTGAAGCAGTATACTATTTTCAAGATATTTCTTTGAAGTGCATTCAGCATTCTGCCAGTATAGTTTTGCCTGGTCTAGTTAATTACCACAGTTATGAGCAAATCCAATCTCGAGCTCCATGTTTAATTGCACAGCAATCCTCCATTTGTTGAATGCAGCTCTGCACTGGGATTTGACAAAGCCACTTGATACCTGCAGAGCTTTCTTTGACAGATTTTGCTCGCTGTTTCATTCACCCTGATTGTAAAATGGGTTTTGCTCGACTGTAAGCTGCAGTTTTAATATGAGAAGTAAGTAAGGAAATAAACTCAAAAAATAAAATACACTTGTGTGGTAGCTTTAATAAGGAATGGATTTATTTCATACATACAATAAAAGAGTTCACACAGACATTCACATCAAGAAGAAGACTGACATATAAAGCAACTCATGATCCTTACCATTATTATTATTTTTTTATTTTGTGGATTTAGATATATGTGTATTGATGTTTTTATGCTCGCACCTTTATTGATAATTTACACTTTCCTATTTTGTACTGCAACTGCAGCACAATAATTTCTCTCTGGATCAATAAAGTTACACACATACGAACAGTCCTGGATTTCTGCAAGTGTAGTTCCTGGAAAATATAGCAGATCTCATTACCAAGTATTCGATCTCCTCATCATATACTGCCTCCACCATCTCAACATGCAACCCTATAAAGATTAAAAAAGATAATAAATAGCTAGATAAAAATAGTCACAAAAAAACCCTAAATAGCTATTCAATATTTTGAGCATTTTCTATGCCCATTGTCATTTTCTGAAACTTCCTGAGGCTGAGTTAAGAGAGTGTTTTATTTTCTTATCATCTTTGAAGCTTTTCCTTTATTGCCTGCATGTCTTAGTAGCCAGTCACCAAAAAAGATGCCTTCAAATGTTATAAAATCAATGTGAGATACAGTGTTTAAACGTCTTTTTTTTTTCTAGAACAGAAAAGGCTCCTAAAGGGTTTTTATCTCCTTGTTATCTCATCTCTTCTTTATGACAGTGTCAGCACAAATGTACTGTAGCTTAAACTGTTGTTGGTTTTAGTCACAGCAACTCCCTCCCTCATAATGTGTCAACAAGACCGACAGGATATGTATTTGGTTTCACTGGTTCAGTGCACCAGTAACTTACCACTAACTTCCAGGTGTAGCTTTCTTCATGTTTTCTGAAGAGCACAATTAACAGAAAAGGCTTCTAATGGGTATATTCTCCTTCATATCTTGTTGTCCATGGGTAACAGCTGACAACTGTAGATAGATAGATAGATAGATAGATAGATAGATAGATAGATAGATAGATAGATAGATAGATAGATAGATAGATAGATAGATAGATAGATAGATAGATAGATAGATAGATACTTTATTTATCCCGAGGGAAATTCAGCTAACACTGTTGTTGACTTTTGTCGTTGGCATTCCCTTCTTATTTTATAGTGGACATAAGATGGGTGGCAATATTTGTTTCGAGTCACAGAACTGTGTCTCTAATGTTTTTGCTTCCTCCAATTGTGCAATCAGCAAGATGTCAGTGGTGTGGTGCACCAAAGTGAAGTTCTCAAATATCAGAAGAAGCAAAACTAAACACAACAATGTACAGTGTTCAGAGTAGAGACCTGTATTGTTTAGTTCATTTGAAATAGGCCATGCAGTCACCAACAGATATACAGACATATCCAGTCGTGGAGATTACGGGACTACAGCATCAGTAATGTAGCCATAATTTTGTTAATTTATTTTTTGCCAAATGAATGAAAAGTGTGCTGAAAATGGCAAAGCATGTCAATATATCTTTTACTGGTTTAGATTTTTGTATCATTGTGTTAATGAATATTTGTGTGTTTTTGTTTCCATTGTCACACTGTTTATGGCAAGTTATATATTTTCTGACAAAGACATATTCTCATAATTGAAGTATGTTTGACTTTACAACAGAGACAGTAGAGAGATCATATGGACAGCAAGGACAACAAATAAATCCGTCTACGTGAAATATCATGTCCTAGAAACTCGCATCAGTGCTTGCATGTTGTTGAACTGGTTTTTCTGGAGCGATTCCAGGTCCCAGAGCAGCTTACTAGTGTCAGGTTCAACCTGCAGCCTCTGCCAGCTGCCTTATGCAACCATATTAATAGGAACACTCACACAGATGCTGGTTGATGTTTAGTAAATATGAGTTGGTATAGTACATTTCTATATATTATAAAGGTTATTACCTTCAATCAACAGTGTGCAGACAGAATACACTAAAATCTGTGTTTTAATACTACCTCTAATACGAATATGCCAGCATGACCAGTAAGACCCTAATAATTCCATTTCATCTGTCCTAATTATTATGTTAATCCAGCTCCCTGGAGTCAAACAGTGGCATGCTTACTTTGGACATTAGTAAACTACAGTGGTCGCTTTGTGAAAATCCTCCCTAATGCTGGTTTTGAAATGAGCACAATGACACATTAGCATAATTTGTACAATACTTTAATCAGATCACTCTTCTTGTCATTTAAATGACAAACCACCCAGGAGGTTAAATGTCAACAAATACAGCAGGAAGGATTATCTCATTTTATGAATACTTGAATATTTTTCAGCGAATTAGTAAAATGACGTTGATCTTAGCTGTTTTTTGTTTTTTTTAGTAAGTCTTTTTTTGTATTTGGCTGGTCAATCAATCCAAGGAAGCAAACCCCTACCTCACTGGTGCAGCTTCTAACCCATTTACACTGGTATAATTTACACTTCAGCTCACTTTGCCTGGTCTGTTTGTCCGACAGCTGTGTGTCAATTGTAATAAAGAACAATCAGGTGGAATTGATTGAAGGTTAATAAACCAAAGGACAGTCCAAGACTGAATGTTTGTAATACAATTAAACTATAATAATGTGTATATGATTGATTGATCGTGATCAGTATTTTATTTGCGGAGTCAATAAAAGGACAAGGGGCCTCACATTGGTCAATATCACCACTACTAAAGGGGTATTACAACAGGTCCGTGATATGTTGGAAGGTGTTTTTTGCCCTATATTGAAAGTGTTAAAAGATCCAAGCTTTGTAAAACTAACAAGAACCCCCCATTAGGAAATACCTTTGTACTTTCTGGAACCTTAAAAGGAAGTTGCTATTGTTTTTCCCACTGAAAAAGATCTCATTGTGGGGGTTTTTTTTGGCAGTCGTCTGACCTCTTCTGACCCTTGTATCTATCCAGGGCCAGGATGTTCAGGTGGTTCACTCTTATAAATAGCTCAAAGTGCACCTGGACAACAAACTAGAGTGGCCTGGGAACACAGGGGCTCTCTACAAGAAGGGAGCTGGCTTTTTTTTTTTTTACTTCACTCCCTTAATAAAAGAAGGTAGATGTTTTTCTTGGGGCCCCCTGGTTTGTTTTTTTTTTTTTTTTTTTTTTTTTTTTTTGGGGGGGGGGGGGGGGGGAAAAACAAAAAAACCAACCTTGGAGGGGGAGGTTGGTTTTTTTGGTTTGTTTTTTTTTTTCTCCCCCCCCCCCTTTCTTTTTATTTAGAAAAAAAAATTATAAACTTTTTAAACCCCTTCCCTCCCCCCCCCAGAACATTAAAATTTTTTTTTTTTTTTTTTTTTTTTTTTTTTTTTGGTTTTTTGGGTTTTTTTTTTTTTTTTTTTTTTCTTTTAATTTTTTTTTTTTTTTTTTTTTCTTTTTTAATTATATTTTTTATTTTATAATTATTTATATTTTTAAAAATTTTTTTTTTTTTTTTCTTTCCCTTTTTTTTTTGTGTATTCTAAAAG